TTCCATAATTTGGGGCCCATAACAGAGAAAGCCCTGTCCCCTCTGAGCTTCCTTTTTGTTCTCTGTATTTTTGGGTCATTGTTTAATCAGTTTTGTCGCTTTTTCTGGTCTTGGCTTGAATCTCTTTGAAATGTCTGTTGTCTGTTTTTCTGGTGTTTCGCTTCAGTTTCCTTAAAATCTTGTGTCTTTTTTTGATCAATTTCTGTTTTTTTGCTTGAATTTCTTTGCAGTTTTGTGTCTTTTTTGTCCTTTTTTTTCTAGCAGTTTGTCCCTTTTTCTGGTCTTTTGCTTGAATTTCTTTGAAATGTCTTTTTTTTGTCATTTTCCTAAAGAAGTTAGTCCCCTTTTCTGGTCTTTTGTTCAAATTTGCAGTTTTGTTTATATTTTGTTGTAATTTTAATCAGTTTTTCTTTTTTTCTGGCCTCTCGATCAAATTATTTTGCAGTTTGGTGAATTATTTTCTTTTTTAACCAGTTTTTCCCTCATTTCACGGTTAGTTTTTGGAGATTTGAGTCCAATCCTGATCAGTTTTCTCGTCTTATGCTCAAATTTCTTGGCAGTTTTGGACCGTTTGTCCCTTCTTCTGGTCTTTTGCGTCACTGTCATGTGTTAATTCTTCATGCTAAAAAAAAAAGGACTTTCCAATCTGAGGAGTTTTAGCTTTAAACAGGGAAAGGGGGACCGAGGAAAACCCAGATTAGTCCTGAACTATGCAACATCTCCCTGGTTGAGCACATAGAACAATCAATATCTCCACCCATTTACTATTTAATCCCATTTTTGGGGGTTTGGAGCTGCCCCCCCGCCGTCAGGTGTGGATTACCTGGTTAACTGTGACAGTTTTGTAGTGGTACATCCCAGGATTCAGCTGCCATCTGCAGAACTCCCCCCTCCAGCCCCTCGTGATGGTTCCTCCCCCGATCCCACCGAGCGGAGCCCCTGTGAGGAGCAGCAACTTTAGAGAAGTTTGGCCCCGAAACAAACCCACGCTTTCTCCCCAGATCGGGTTTTTTCTTCCAAAAATCGTCTGGAAAACCTCCCAAACTCACCATAAATTTGACGTAATGGCTGCGCCCCGAACATGTCGATGAACGGCGCCTTCTTCTCCACCTGAGTCTTCTTGTACCACCATTTCAGATACCTGCACAGAGCCGGTTCGTTTTAAAACACTTTTTTCAGTTCATATCAAATACATGAACAAAAAAGTAACATAACTTTTTTTTTTTTACATTTTGTTAAATAGCCAAACAAAAGCTTTACTGATTAGAAAAATAACAGAGCCCTTTAAATCTCCCCGTGAGGTAACAAAGGGTTTTATATTAGATTTATTTCATGTATTCTCTGCTCAGCTCTTTGTGCTTGAATAAAGTTGGCGTGAAAGTCCTTAATCTGTTTACTGCTCTGCTCTGAAACCAGATTTTTTTGCTAATGAGCCAAATAGAGCACAGAGCTGCTTTGTGCTCACAGAAAAACTGATAAAAACTAACTCGCTTTTCAGCTCGGGCTCGCAAAAAAAAAAACACCGGACCGGCCCTCTCTGGGCTCAGAAACTCCTCCGAAAAAAAGCTCCAGAAAACGATCAGAAAAACCTGTCATTCCCCACACGGCGGGACATTTGATATGTCCTCCCCTGGGGAGGGACGGCCTACTTTCCACAATGACCCGTCCTGTTCTGCTGGTTGGGATCGGCTGTGACCTCACCCCAAAAAGGTTGGGCCGCAGACTTTAAGTAAAAAGCTCTCAAGCAGAAAAACCAGAGCCGCTCACAAAAGATGGGCGGGTTGAACCAGGGGGAGTGGAGAAAGTCGCCCGTCCTGTGAGTCTGGGTCCGTTTGGATCCCCTCTGGGCTGATCAGCGGATCTCTGAGGACTCGGAGGAGTTTGAAATCAGTTTAAAATCAGTTCTGTAGCACAAAAGCCGAGCAGGACGCGACATCTGAGGCTCTAAATCCAGCCTGAGAGGGCTCAGGATACAGTTCCTGAGTCCTTTCCGTGCAGTAGGTAGGTAAGTAGGTAGGTAGAGCCAGAAAAACAATGAAAAATAAGTAGAAGACATGGAAAAACAACCAAAAATAAGTCAAACAGACAGAAAAACAATGAAAACTAAGTAGAAGACATAGAAAAACAACCAAAAATAAGTAAAACAAAACAGAAAAACATTGAACAATAAGTAGAAGACATAGAAAAACAACCCAAAAAAAGTAGAACAAAACAGAAAAATGAAAAATAAGTAGAAGACATAGAAACACAACCAAAAATAAGTAAAACAAAACAGAAAAACAAGGAAAAATAAGTAGAAGACATAGAAAAACAACCAAAAATAAGTAAAACAAAACAGCAAAACAAGGAAAAATAAGTAGAAGACATAGAAAAACAACCAAAAATAAGTAAAACAAAACAGCAAAACAAGGAAAAATAAGATAGATAGATAGATAGATAGATAGATAGATAGATAGATAGATAGATAGATAGATAGATAGATAGATAGATAGATAGATAGGCAAAAGACACACGTCGGCCCAGTTTTACAGCTAAAGTCTGAGGGGAGTCTGTTTGTTTATGACTTTTTCAACCAAAAATTTTTTTAAAACAACACTTGAGACATTTGGGATTTTTTTTAAAAGGCCTTAAAACAACATTTGAGACGTTTGTGAACCGTACAGCTACCTAACAGGGATTCAGAGCCTCGATAAAGCATGTGAATGGCTGTTCATGGGCAGGGCTCACACGGATGTTCGGGACTTTATCGTGTCAGTGATTCTTCTTTTAGAGGGAAACAGAGAAGTAAAATAGCCTTTTGTTGACCTCCTGACCACAGAAACCGACAAAGAGTTCAAACTCTGCTCGTTTCCTCCTGTAAGAGCCTTATTTTGAAATCACGTTCAGATTAATTTTCTAAAAAATAAATAAATAAATCAAATCTGTGGGCAGTTAAACTAAACAAAGAGACAAAAGCGGCTGCTTTGGAGCGAGTTTGGACGGGCAGGCGTCGGCCCTTTTTGTTTTTAATCGCTTTTACATGCAAAAAGGGCTCATGTTCTTCCGCTTTACGAGCCCTGAAAGGAGTACGACGAACAAAAT